GTCAAGAGAAAAATGCAGAATTATGTAAGAAGTAGAGATTACAAACATCAATAACAGACATAAGTACTTCAGAGTTAGAGGACATCAAGCTAATATTTCGTAAAGAGCAACCACATGACAAAAATACTCAAAGCTGTAAGCCTTCCTCAGACTTGGAAGGTCATGAGACTTTTTTTGGCTAAAATAAGGAATGCTTTAATGACAGAGAAGAAAAGAACTTCCAGACTTCTAGGTGGCTCCCATTTAAAAACAAACAAACAAAAACAAAATGAAACAAAAAAAACTCCTCCTCTCTCTTAAGTGTATGGTCCAGTGATGTCTAGTTACCATGCAAGTCACATCAACAGCTGGACAGCACTGAGCATCCTTAGAACTCCAACTCTTGTTTTTCTACTAAAGTTTTCCCAACCTTCCTTTGATGTCTGGCACCACCATCCAACAGCAGCTGACTAACGTGTTACCATGTGACGCTGTGTAGAATAGTAAGGCACAGTAAGATTTTTATTCCTTTCAGTAAGCCTCTGCTGATTTTTTTTTTTTAAAAAAAGGATAATTATTTTAATGACATATTTAGAAAAAGGATTATGTACAACAGAAAGTCACAAGGGTAACACTAATTAAAAGGTGTCTCAATTTATTACTATGAATCTTTCACAGAGCCTACATGCATTTTTACCTGATATTTGCAAAGGTCATTTCATACTACACGTATAACCAGCAAAGAAGGAATACAAAAAACTGTGGGTCTGGCTTTTCTATAAAGAAAAACAAATTTAACAGTGATAAAGAAGGCAATCAAGATACAAATACAGAAGCCAGGCATGGTGGCACACACCTGTAGTCCCAGCTACTCAGGAGGCTGAGGCAGGAGGATCACTTGAGGCCAGGAGTTAAAGACCAACTGGGCAACATAGTAAGACTCCATTTCAAAAAAGAGATAAAGATACAAATTGATATTACGATCTTACTCATTATATCAACATATTTATTGAGCACCTACTACATATACCAGGCACTGGTGAATAAACCAGGTATTATTAACTTCATATTAACCTCTAGGGCAAGAGGAGGACCCTAAGTGATCAAATAATATATAAATTGTGGTAAATATTCAGAAGGAAAAGTGATTATGTTATGAGGGATAAAATAAAGGACCTCCAATTCACATGATGATAAGGGTGGCCTTGTCAGAGAAGACCTTTATGAGACAGGATATTTGAGCTAGCACTCAAGGATGAGAAGTTACTCAAGGAGCTGATCCTAAATAGACCAACAGCATGAGCCACAGCCCTGAGGCTAGCCTGCTGGAGAACTAGCCAAGATGACAGCAAGATATCCAAGTAGAGGTAGGGACCAAATCATGCAGGACTCTGAAGTAATGTCAAGGATTTGGTATCTTATCCCAAAAATAAATAAATGTGTTTCCTGAGAATCTTGACAACTTTAAGATGGCAAATGACTTTTTTTTTTTTTCTTTTTCAGGCTGCTGGTAGGAAAACAGACTGGAAGGGCTGCAGAGTGTGTGCAGGAGGCACTGCACCAAGGAAACATAGTACAATACAGTGGCTTGCATTAGGATGGTGGAATAGCGGGGACTGAAAATCAGACCGGTTTGAAAGGGATTTTTGCAATAAAAATGGACAGCAGGACTTTATGATGGACTGGTTTGCTAGGGCCAATAGAAGAAAAGAGAGAGTGGAGCGAGCTACTCCTTGGATGGATGAGATGAAAAATGGAGGAGGAACAGTTTGAAAGTTTGAGTGACCAAGAGCTCAATTCTGAAGGAGTTTGAGATGTTGCCATTTATTGGCTGAAATGTGCCAGGCACATCTAATATATATTAGATGTTCTACTCACCATAGCATCCCTTTCAGTAGTAGTATCCCCATTTTCCAGATATCCAACTGTAGATCACAGAGGCTGAAGTGGCATGGCCGAGCTCGCTCACCTCGGGAGTGACAAAGTCACATGTGCAACCCAAGTCTGGCTGGCAGTGGGGTAAACATTCTTTCCACTATACGGAATACTTGGAAACTCTCTCTATACTTTGAATTTTTAAGTCTATTTAGGGTTGGAGCAAGTTAGCACCAAAGAAGAGTAAATAAACGTTATATTATTTTTTAATCCAAATCTTTAATTTATGATGCATGTATTTCTATCCAACTCCCATTCCCACTCCACTTTTACCTGCACAGAGTTTTGTAATGTTTTGAACACTAGCACGATATCTAAGATCTTAATGTTTTATAATAAAGGAGCAAAGCCATTATGCCAGGAATTACCCATAAGAAAAAGGCAACAATATCCCACAACAAACAATATTTTTACTTCCAAGTCATTATATACATCAACAAAAAACAGATAATAAATGAGTCAGAAACCCTGAAGAACGAATCATTTCTCAAAATACAAGGCAGTCAGGTCAAAAACTGACGTAAGTCACCATGTACAGAAGCCTACAAGAGCCAAACACTGGAGACTCAGGTTGAAAGGTTGCAACTTTAAAAAATAAATAAAAGGCAAAACAAATTATACAACTATGTCGAATTTTAAATCTGTATCTCCCAAATATCTGAACCAAATGCCAAATTCAGGAAACACGCAACCTATAAACAACTTCAACACTCTCTGTTCTTTGTAATTGCTTTTTCCTGAAGCACACTGACACTTCTGCAAAGTGAAGTGCCTTTCCTGCCTGCACAGCCCCATGATTTGCTCCCTCTCAGGGCCCTCTAATGCACCCCTAAGCTACTAAAGCCCAGAAATAAGGTTTGATCAATAAACCTAGAAAGAACTCGATGTATTACTGCCAATTGTGCCCATCACAGAAAGTACCACCTGGAGACTCTTGAGGAAAAAATGAGGAAGGGGGAGATTTTTGAAAGGTTTTATCATCTGTATAAATACAGCAGTATAGACACATCTGTATAAATACATCTGCATAGATACAACAAATGTATCTGTATAATACAACAAAGTATTATAATTTACTTTGTAAATTATACAATTATACTTTGTTGTATTTGGTCCCTGAATAGAATCATCATCAAACATATGTTCAGTCTTCTTCAAGTGGGGGATGGTCATGTGTAATTTTATGGTTTGGGGAGAGTGCCTCATGGAGATAAAAAAAATTAAAAGTACCATTAGTATGCCCGCTAAAAGATAAAATTCACACAAACCACTTCCCCAAATGATAGTGCTGTCTCCCGCGTCCTGATTTTTGCGTCTACCCTGCACCTCTCCCTGCAGAGAGCTGGCTGGCATTCACTACCGCCTCACTCAGGCAAAGAACAGTATGTCGAAAACCCATTAAGAAAGCTTCTCATTTTCAGTTCCTTCATAACATGATGGCAACTCCTGGCAACTCCAAGATGAAAGGCAAAAAAGAAAATAAAAACTACCTGGGGCCCCCTACCAGAATGAGTGGTTAATCTAATGGAGAGAAAAGCAGAGATGCATACATATTTAAAAATGCTTCCTGGGGACAAAGCAGGTCTAATGAATTGCTGAGCCACAATCTACTGGAAAATCCATAAATGTTCGTCCCTGCTGTCACAGGGCTAGAGGAATTTTTTTTTTTTTTTTAATGCAATGCTTTAATGCTAACCTGACAGGGCTAACCTGACAGGTTTAAGTTCTCTATGAAACGTGATTTGCATTCATTTCGCTTCTGACTCCCTAAAGATCAGGAACAATATTGACCCGCAATTATATATCCTACGTTGCACTGTTCAAGATGCCATTTGATGCTGGGAAAGTAGTGGTTTAGCAACACCAGGCGGCTCTATGATGCTAAAATAAAAACCAACACTGGATTCCGAACCCAAGCACTTATCTTTTAAAACCCAGTGCCGCACCAGGACCCATATTCAAAGCTCGCGTCCCTTCAGGTTGAATCTTTCGGCTTTGTGCGATTTACCCTCTCAAACTTTCTAGTTTGCAAGACGGAATTACTTTGAACGTCCCCTCTTCTGGACTCCTCTCCCCAAAGGGACTGGCGGCAAAGGAGAATAGAATGCAGATGGTTAATAGTTCAAATGAAATTTAAAAACCTATAAAATAAGCGTTCACCAAACCGCCATCCCGCAAGCGAGCATCCGATTTCCATTCGAAGGAAAAAATATTTTAAAAACCAGACATAAAATTCCCTTCGCAAGAAAAGTGGCCTCTAAACTCCCTTGCCAAGGACACTGGGAGGAAGCAGAAAAGCAAAACCAAGCTCGTACTTTTCAGTCCGCGGCTTGTGTGCCGCGGGAAGAGGCGCAAAGGGTGACACACCAGGAAAGGTGAACGCAGCGGGAGCGGGAGCCCGCGGCGGGGCAGGGTGGGGGCGCAACGGACGAGGGACCCAAGGTGCGGAGAGAGGGGCAACCGCGCGGAGGGCAGCTCCGAGGCTGCAGGCAGCGCGGGCGGGGTCTCCGGCGCAGCCCGGATCGCCGCCGCAGAGTAAAGTTAATACTTACTCAGTTTCGCAACTGCGCCGCCCCCGCAGGCCGGCCGAGCGCTGGGGACGCGGGGGCACCCGAGCTCCGCGGCCGCCCAGCGCCTGTCCCCGTGCCGCACTCCCGGCGCGCCGCGCGCCGCGCGCCCCGCACCCCGCACCCGCACCCCGCACCGGCGGGAGGCCCCGGCCGCCGGCGCTTCCCTCTCCGCGCACCTCCCGGCCGCGCGCTAGGTGAGTGTGGACGCCACTGGCGGGGTGCCGCGGTGCGCGAGCCTCGGCCAGGGGCAGAGACGCCGCGGGAGCCGCCCCAGTGCCCGCCGGCGCGGGCGGAAGGGCGAGGCTCGGCGAGGCTGGGAGGAGCTGGCGGCCAGACGCTGAGCGGCGCGGCGCGGAGCGCCGGACGAACGCGGGCGTAGAAGTCAGCGGCCCGCTCGCTCCCGCGGCTGGTGCCTCTGGCTGGGGGCCGGGCTGGGCGCCGGGCGGCCGGCGGCTGGCCGGGCGGCTCCGCCCCTTCGCCGGGCCGCGGCTGAGCGCGCGAGAGGAGCGGCGCGGGGGCGCCCCCCTCAGCCCGGCGCTCGGGTTTCAGCCGCCGCTCCCCCGCGCCCCGCCTGCGCCTGGCCCGCTCGCCGGCGCCGGGAGAGACCTCGTAACGGAACTGGGACGCCAGCGCTGCATTGTGGGAGCTTTTAAAGCGGCGGGGAGCGCGGCGCGACCCTCGGGCCCACCGGGCCACGCTCGCCCGGCCCAAGACGCAGCCCCGCCGTCGCCTGGCCCGCGGCGCACCGAGGCCTGAGGACCCGAAAGCCGGGCGCGGGGAGATGACCGGTGGCTCGTGACTCTCCCACGGGTAAAATCTTCCATCGCCTGGGGCTGAGACTTGTCAAACTGCCCTCTACGGTCACCCGGAAAGTAGGAGGCTTTTTCCGCAGAGGGAAAAAGATTTAAAAGAGCCCTTCCATCCCCCCTCCAAGGACCTTGGTTTGAATTGCTTTTCATCTGCAGTGGCTGTGATTCAGCGTCCCTCTTAGCAGCAGGCAATGACAGAGGCGGGGGGGGAGGGGGGGTAGAAAAAAAAAGAAAGAAAGAAGGAAAGAAAGAGAAAACAGCAAATGAATCAAACGGACGTGAGTAACAAAAGTTTAGAAAGAGCTGGGCTGGGATTCAGAAAAACGCCTCATGCCCCCGCCCCGCTACACTCCCAACCCCTTTAAAAATAGCAGGTAATCAAGGAAGGAAACGGGTGCTTTCATATGGAAATACAGATGTGTATGTTGTTTTGAGTATTCTACTATTTTTTGTGTGTGTGATATGCAATTACTCAAGGCACTGGGCAGAATTCAGCCTTTGGATTTTGTGGTCACACACACCCCAACCTCGCAACAGCTATTTATTCGCAGGGCGATGGGGTGCGGATAGTTGATGACATACAAGAAAGCACTCCAATTAAAATGCCCCCCCCCCCCGCCTTTTAGTTTTCCAGAGACTTGCTTTTTTTTTTCTTTTTTTAAACATCATCAAAACAAGAATATTAAACTTGAAGCAGAATTGGTTACGGCATATCTGACTCAGGACCTGATTTAAGGTTTGGGGTTTTTTGGCCGTTTGTTTCTTCCTCTTGTTTTTTGACCTTTAGTTAACTTCACACCTCATTAGTTCCTTGGCCTGTAGGTGGACTGAGAAGAGAACCATGGTAAGACTTAAATTTGTCAAATCAACATTTGGAGAGGAGAAAGTTCGCTGTGATTCAAATGCAAAACCAAAGGGAATGTGATTTAAAAGTCAACCTGTAGGGCATGGATCCTCCCTTAACCCTACTAGACTCTTGAAAGGAGTTGCCTAGCCTTAAGGTGAAGGTTTCCTAACCTCTCATTCCCTTCTCAGCCTTTCACTCCACTGAACAACATTAGCCATTGCTTAATTGCCAAATCTAATGGAAAAATTTAATTCCCATCTTGTGCCTTTTGTGGCATTTGCCAATGTTGACCTCTCCTTAGAACTTTCTGCCTTTCCACGGGGCACGGTGGCTCACGCCTATAATCCCAGCACTTTGGGAGGCCAAGGTGGGCAGATCACCTAAGGTTGGGAGTTCAAGACCAGCCTGACCAACATGGAGAAACCCCGTCTCTACTAAAAATACAAAATTAGCCGGGCATAGTGGCACATGCCTGCAATCGCAGCAACCTGGGAGACTGAGGCAGGAGAATCACTTGAACCTGGGAGGTGGAGGTTGCAGTGAACCAAGATCAAGTCATTGCACTCCAGCCTGGGCAACAAGAGTGAAACTCCATCAAAAAAAAAAAAAAAAATTTCCTCCTTTCTTTGGCTGTGGTAGTGTTTTTTTTTAAGACGGAGACTCGGGGAGGCCGAGGCCGGCAGATCACCGGAGTGAGCCGAGATGGCGCCATTGCACTCCAGCCTGGGCAACAAGAGTGAAACTCCATCAAAAAAAAAAAAAAAAATTTCCTCCTTTCTTTGGCTGTGGTAGTGATCCCTCTTTTGTGTACTTCTTGAAGCAGGGGTTAGTTATAGCAGGCAAGAGTGTGGTTATCGTTGGACCAGGATTCAGGATCTGACTGAGTAGCTGACTCTTAATCCAGTTTGTAGTGATCACCAGGAGGATCTGGACCTCAGTGTTATCACATCTAGAGGTGAGCAAGTTGACTGACTCCTGATAACCGACTCTTATATGATGAGCATTTAAATCAGGACAGAACTTCCTGATTGGATAACAATACCCACTATTTAGGAAAAACCCTTCCTAAAAATCCAGGTACCTAGTGAGGTATCATCACCTCTAGTCTTACTGGTGGCTGCCAAAGTCAGTGAATTTGCCTCCATCCAGTGCTGGAAAAATGCAGAAAAATCTCTACCCTGCCTAGCCCGTTTGGTTAATGCATTCTTTCTTCAGAGTATAGTGTTTTAATTTAATGTAATGTAACTTAATTTAGGAGAGCTAAGTAATTAAACATGAGGCCAAAGTACGTAAGAAAGTGGCAGTCTTTTATTGCAAATATGCACACACTCTCAGGCGAGGTTCTCTGGTCCTCAGGTGTGGGGGGCCAGGGAAGTTGCCCCGGCACTCTCGGGTGATGTTCTCTGGTCCACAAATGCAGGGGCCGAAGAAGTCACGCGGGCTCCTGCCAGCAGCGGACTTTTATGCCTGGGAGCTGGAGGGGGAGGAGTTTGGGGCGTGTGTGTAGGAGTGGCTTCTTGAATTTCGGTGTCCCCGGCTTGACGTCACTCTGCGCATGCTCAGTTGATTTGGTTCTTTCCCGGGCGCGGGAAAATCTGTGATGAAGACCCCGGAAACAACAGGGACTGCTCCATCTTGTTCACCTTCCTCCATCTTGTCCCTTTTCCCTCACCCAAACATGTAGTACAATTTGTTTTAAGCTTTTTAAGCTGTAATCACATCCCTGTTAAGCCTTCCTGAGATCACACCAAATGTCCTTGATGGGAATTGTCAACAACCCTTACTTCTGGTTTCTAATGATATTCCAGGAAAGGAGCCTAACTAGAGTCAGTGAGTATTCATGCGCTTCAAACCCTGTGACATAATAAGATTTGATTTTTAAGAAACAGCTTGAGAGGATGGATTCAGAAAAGAGGCAAATCCAAAGGGAGAGTCTAAACTGGAGAGCAGTGGGAATGAACAGGAGGAGGCCGTATGAGAGAGGAATTGGTCATCTTATAGACCTGGAGGTCAGAAATCTAAAATCAAAGTGTGGTTTGTGTTCCTTCTGGAGGATTGAGGGGAGAATTCATTTCTTTGCCCTTTTCAGCCTCTAGATGCCACCTGCATTCCTTGGCTTGTAGTCCCTTCCTCTATGTTCAAGGCCAACTGCATAACATCTTCCCCCCTTTCTTTGTAACCTCTGCTTCATGGTGATGGGAACATCTCTCTCTCTGATAGTAGGAATTGATTTAGATGCTTTTCTAGCCATGTGTGTTATGAACTAAATGCAATTGAATTACTTATGGGAGGAGATGACAGGTGATCTCATTACTTGTCAAATCATCATTAGATAACTGACTTGACTGTTAAGATTTCTGAAGCCATGATTTATTACCTCAGCTAAATCTGTATCAATCTGGTGACCCATGTAACTGACACCAAGATGTTAACACTTTAAGAAAACCTAGTTTATGTTTGCAGCTCCTGAGGATAAATCCCTTTATCTTGAAATACCTGGAAACCCCTTTTTAATGTCCAGTGGAATCATATTGCCAAGTTTGACAAATGTGTCTAGACCAGCATTTCCCAAACAACCCACCAGAGAACACCAGCCTGTAAGATGGTGATATTGTTTGGATGTTTTTTCCCTCCAAATTTCGTGTTGAAATGTGACCACCATGTTGGAGCTGGATCTAGTGGAAGGTGTTTGGGTGATGGGGCAGATCTCTCATGTATGGCTATGTACCCTCCCTTCAGTAGTGAGTTCATGAAAGATCTGGATGTTTAAAAGAGTCTGAGATCTTCCTCCTCTCTCTTTTGCTCCTGCTCTTGCCAAGTGGTATGCCAGCTCTACCTTTGCCTTCCACTATGATTGGAAGCTCCCTGAGGCCTCACTAGGAGCAGATGCCCATCCCATGCTTCCTATACAGCCTACAGAACTGTGAGCCATAATAAACTATGAATTATAAATTGCCTTTTTAGCAATACAAATGGACCAGTACAGACGGGATGCTGGGAAGACAGTTGTTCCACCTTCAGTAAAGTCCATGGAACACAGTTGTTACTATATTCTAGGCCAGCCAAGATGCTTGTACTCAGAAAGGGGTGGTCTCAGGACCATAGGAAAGTAAAAAAATAAAAATAAGAAAATTAAAAAGGGATTGTCAATGAATCAGAATTAATCAAGGGCAAAGTCTTAGGAAGTTCCTTCATGAGGAAGTCTAGGGGGGACTATGGAAATGAAAATTTTTAAATAAATAGGTATGTGGTGCTAGCAGGAATAAATTATGGACTTGTGAATATAACATAAGATTCTTTATTACCTGGTCTCACCCATCTTTCCACCTCTGCCCCCCTTCTTCCCCGACTCTGTGTTTCACCCATAATAAACTACTTACAGCTTCCTAGTGTTAAATTTACCCTAAAGCTGCCTCCTTAAATATTTTAAGTTCAACCTAAAGGTTCTCCATACATAGTGAACTATAAACTAATGATTAAACAGATTGTAACCTACTCTTGTACCAGTCGCCAAGTTTCAGCCAATCAGAGGTGGCCAACTGTTCCAACCATGCTCAAATAAGGGAAATGTCATGGTGTAACCAATCCAGCTATTTCTGTACCTCACTTCTGTTTTCTTAGGTCACTTTCCTTTTTCTGTCCATAAATTCTCTCCAACCACTCAGCAGCACTGGAGTCACTCCAAAGCTGTCCTGGTTCGGGGGTCTGTCTGATTCACAAGTCATTCTTTGTTCAGTTGAGCTCTGTTAAATTTAATTTGTCTAAAGTTTTCCTTTTAACAGATGGTGTCAGAAATGGACCCCAAAGTAGAGCTCCCAGTGACCCCCCCCCCCCAGGAGCACTGAGTGACCAAAAGAGGTATCTGCTGGGCCCGTCCTCTTGCAGTGTCCACTGCTTTTTTGCAGCAACTGGGGATTGTGGCTACATTCTGTCTCAGATTCTGAAGCTCCATACATTGCCATTTTCAGCTGTTCGAGCTTGCTTGAGCAAAGTTTTGATCTTAGCTGAGTTTGGAAGTCGATAGACATTGGGCTGGGTCCAGGATTTGATTGGATCTGATAATTAACTGGCTTGGATCCAGTTAGATGCCTCGGGTATCTGACTGGGTCAGACAGATACCACCAGTAAATATTTTAATAGCAATACTGCAGGGGTATGAACTCTGGCTTTAAGAAACTCACAAGGAATTTTATGTTCTATACCCTCTGTTTCTTTTTCTTGTGTGCTTCGGTCGGGAAAAATCATTAGTCAAGTTAATCAAGGGGATTTAAGAGCCAAATACAAGATTCAACATAAAAATGGAATCCTTGGTCTGGGCGTGGTGGCTCAGGCCTGTAATCCCAGGACTCTGGGAGGCCGAGGCGGGCGAATCACCTGACGTCAGGAGTTCCAGACCAGTCTGGCCAACATGGTGAAACCCCGTCTCTACTAGAAATACAAAAATTAGCCGGATGTGGTGGTAGATACTTGTAATCCCAGCTACTTTGGAGGCTGAGGCAGGATAATCACTTGAATTCTGGAGGCAGAGGTTGCAGTGATCTGAGATTGCGCCACTGCACTCCAGCCTGGGCGAAAGAGCGAGACTCCGTCTCATAAATAAATACATAAATAAAGGAATCCTTAATTTCTGAGGAACTGAGTACTCTACCTTCTGGCTACACCTACCTATACCTGTATGAGGGATAGGCCCTGGAAGCAGCAAACACAGAAATGGTGAAATCTTACTAAAGGTAATTTCAAGTTATGGTGGAACATCCCAAATGAGCAACACTGCGCTTTAGGAAGTGCATTGAAAAATGAAGTCTCCCAATTTAGTATCCTCCAGGGATGGCTGTTGAAGTTCAGAAGCTTCTAAAAAGATTCCAATATTTTTACAGATTCTTCTAAAAGATTGTTTGTAAAAGGCAAATAAAAAGCTTAAGTGACTAATCAGAAAAATTAGGTGTTCTAACCTTTTGTCATTGTTACTATCTTGCCCTGAAAGGGAAAAGAAAGCTGGATAAAGTATTTATAGAAGACAGGGGACCTGTGGTGGCTCATGCCTGTAAGCCGAGGTGGAAAGATTGCTTGAGGCTAGAAGTTCAAGACAAGTTCAAGCAACATAGCAAGGCCCCATCTCTACAAAAAATGAAAATAAAATTAGCTGAGCATGATGGCTCATGCCTGTAGTTCTAACTTCTAGAGAGGCTGAGGCAGGAGGATTGCTCGAGTCAAGGAGTTCAAGATTACAATGAGCTATGGACACGTCGCTGGACTCCAGCCTGGATGACGGAGTGAGACTGTCTCAATAAAAAGACAAAAAGGTAAGCCCTTAGGTAAAGTAAGCTTGCGTCTTTGTTAGAGCTATCCATGCTAAGTCCAGACAAAGAAAATGCTTTCTTTAGCATGGTGCGGTGGCTCACGCCTGTAATCCCAGCACTTTTGGAGGCCAAGGCGGGTGGATCACGAGGTCAGCAGTTCGAGATGAGCCTGACCAACATGTTGAAACTCTGTCTCTACTAAAAATACAAAAATTAGCTGGGTGTGGTGGCCCACGCCTGTAATCCCAGCTATTCAGGAGGCTAAGGCAAGAGAATCACTTGAATCCAGGAGGCAGAGATTACAGTGAGCCAAGAATGCACCACTGCACTCCAGCCTGGGCAATAGAGTGAGACTCCATCTCAAACAGAGAAAAAGAAAAAAAAAGAAAAGAAAATGCTTTCTTTACCCAGTTCAGTAATGAGCTCTGCCCCAAACTCAGTAATTTTAGCAAAGAAACAGTAGCTAAGTTAAGAAGACCGCCTATTAAACTAAGTTGGTCTCCAAAATATACCTTTCTGGCATTTAGCTGGCTACTTTGAAACCCTTTTGTAAATGAAATTTACATCTATAAAGGAAATCTCTGTTTGTAAGGGCATCTACACTGAGAAGAGGGAGGACTGGGTCACTAGAAACTCTTACCACTGATTTAACATAAATCTTACCATTGTTTAAGGTGCTTTTCCTTGCCATCTTGTCTTAACTGGGCCTTTACCTACACTTTTCTTCCTCGGTTTGGGGAACCAGTGGTACAGTATTTAGGCCTGAAATCTCAACTCTGTGCTTTGAGATACAAATTTTTCACCGTGTTCCACCTAAGAGCTTCCCTTTAGAAGTACAAATTTAGGATTGCCTAACAATTGCTTAGGGCAATGAATTAGGTAGTTGGAAGATTGATAGTCTAAATGGGGAAAAGAGACTACTTGAAAGCCAGCAAATGGGAATTGTTTATGAAAGTTATAAGATCTGCTTCTGTCTTTATGTCTGTATGTCTATGTGTGTTATGTGTATTTGATAAGATTTGGTAACTAAAGACAGCATTTAAATGGTTAGCAAAATATAACAGGATTGAAACCACCTTTGCAAAATTATGACAGTAAGAAAAATCTGACATAGTTGACTCCATCTTGCTTCTGACCCCTAAACTGTCCCCGGTCATTTCATAGGCCAAGCTAACTTTCTGAAGAATTTAGTTTTTAGTTTAACTTGAAACCAAGGATAATAGTCCCTCCCTAAAACTAATCCCCTCCTTGCTCTGGAACCAAAACCCACCTTTGTAAGACTAAGGAAAGGCCACAAGAATAGGATTATGGGAGGGCCTGAACTCTGCTAACATGTAGGCATAGTTTCTATAACCCCATACTGCTCAGGGATCTTGTGTCCAGAGGTCATAAGATTTGTGGCTTCCCTGATTGCTCCTACAGATAACATTCTACTGTAGAAACTAAGATGGGTTTTTTGAGATGTTTTACAGACTGACCCCACCCAGATCCGTAACTCATGACTCACCTGGTCCTATGGCCCCACCCAGAAGTATTATAGACTCGGGATGAAGACTGTTTTCCCAACCCCTATGATTTCATCTCCAACCAATCAGCAGTATCCATTCCCTAGGCCCCTGCACACCAAAATGTCCACAAAAAAACCCTAGGCTCCCAGCCTTCAGGGAGACTGATTTGAATCAGCTAACTCCAGTTCTCCTGTATGGGCTGGCCGCACGTCAGTTAAACTTTTTCTTTACTACAGTGCCACGGTTTCAATGAATTGGGTTTGTCTGGGCAGCGGGCAGAAAGAACCCATCAGGTAGTTACAGAAATAGCTTCCGAATTGTCAGTTAAATATAATTCAGGCATTTTTGCTTTAGTCTACTGGTCAGACAGGTCTGTGCTGTCTCTGATAACATGTTTTAAGGTCACAAAACTGCTGATTCTGCTTTTTTTTTTTTTTAGGAGACAAAGTTTTCCTGTGTCACCTAGGCTGGAGTGCAGTAATGTGATCACATCTTACTGCAATCTTGAGCCTCCTGGGCTCAAGCAACCCTACCACCTCAGTTTCCCATGTAGCTGGAACCACAGGCATGTGCCACCACGCTCAGTGCTATACATATAGAGGCATATATATAGAGAGGCATATATAGAGAGGCATATATATAGAGGAGTGTGTGTGTGTGTGTGTGTATGTGTGTGTGTGTGTGTGTGTGTATATATATATATATATCTTTTTTTTTTTGTGGAGACAGAGTCTCACTATGTTGCCCAGGCTGGTCTTGAGCTTGTGACCTCAAGAGAACTTCCCACCTCAGCCTCTTAGAGTGCTGGGATTACAGGCATGAGCCACCATTCCTGGCCTTGATTCTGTAATATTTTTTAACACTTATTTGATTTGCTCCCCCAAGCCTTGCATATATTTTACTGTGAGCTTGTCTTTGTTTTTTGTTTTGTTTTGTTTTGTTTTGTTTTTGAGACAGAGTCTCACTCTTATGGAAAATGTATGGTTAGTATTCACAACTAAAGGGTAATTAGGATGTCTTATTGAGGTACACTGAGTCATTTCGTAAATAAGTTAATTGCGAAAAGATTTATTAAACTAAGGTTTTAAGTGGTTATACTATGTTGCATCTTATTTTTGAGTGTGGCATTGAAACAGTGATATGATTCGAATGTTGGTTAATTGGAATTTGAGAGAAACGGATCGTTGTTCTGAAAAAATTGTGAAATGAATTTCTTCGATCTATAAAATATCGGTTACAGGCCGCAGGGTGTGGTGGCCTCTACCTGTATCCCGAAGCCTTTGGGGAAGGCGAGGGCAGTGGGGGGTCATCGCGTTGAGCCCAGGATTTCTTTTTTTGTTGTTTTTTTATGGGTTTTTGTGAGACGGGAGTCTCGCCTCTGTCCAGGGCCCGAGGCTGGAGTGCAGTGGCGAGCATCTTGTCAGCCGCTGCAAGTCGTGCTCCCGGGTGTTCTCGCCGATGTCTCCGTGCCTGCCAGTCTGCCGGGCCGAGTAGCTGGGGATACAGGCACCCGGCCACCTAATGGCCCGGCATATTTTTTTGTTTTGTCTTTCTTAGTAGAGAGATGGGTTTCACTGTGGTGTTAGCTCAGGATCGGTGGGCTCTTCTCGCGATAGCGTTGTGATCGTGCACTGCCTCGCCTACGCTTAGAAGTGCTTGGGATGTTAGTCAGGCTTGAGCCCACCGACGCCGGGCCAGAGCCCAGGATTTCAAGACCAGGCCTAGGCATCATGGTAAAATTCCTCCTCTCTACAAAACTTTTACAGAAAAATTTAGCCAGAGAGTGGTGCACATGCCTGTCCCACTTACTCAGGAGGGCTGAGAGGTTGGGGATTGGCTGGGAGCCAGAGGTCAAGGTGACGAGGCGGCTGTGACCTGCACTCGCTGCGATGTTGTTGGGCCTAGGGCGGAATGGAATGAGACCGCGTGGTCTCAAGCAAAAGTAAACCCCAAAAACCTTAGTGTGGAAAGACAGGTTCACAAATTAGCTTACTCCTAAGTGTTTTTCACCAAGAATTAGGGGTTAACAATTTCCTGCATATAGGAAGTATGCGAGTTATAAAGAGAGAGCAAGATTAATGTTTTTGGTGAGGACAAAGTGGTAAAAGGGCATAAAAAGGTGTGTGGCCAGGCTGTGGTGGTTCAACTCCTGTAATCCTAGCACTCTGGGGAGGCTGAGGCAGGTGAATCACCTGAGGTAAGGAGACAAGGCCTGGCCAACATGGTGAAATGCACTGCTCCTACTAAAATACAAAAGTCTAGGTCGGTGTTACGGTGGCGGCAGGTGTGTAATTCCTGGCATACTCAGGGAAGCTGAGGCAGAAGAATCTCTTGAACCTGGAAGGCAGAGGTTGAGTGAGCTGACAATGGCGCCACCTGCACTCCAGCCTGGGGAACAGAGGTGAAATTCGCTTCCAAAGAAAAAAACCTAGTGTGTTGAAAAACCTTA